TCCAAGCTATAACTTGACTTACGGAATGGGGGTGCTCTGTGTTCCGCCGATTGTGCTATTTCTACTGGGGTTTGTCATGAACAATAATGTGTCTATGTTGGCAGAAGAATGGAAGAGGCCCACCGGGATGAGGCAAAAGGACTCCGCAGTCCTTCGTTACATGTTTTGTTCAATGACGCAGCGAGCATTGATTGCCCCAGCGGTTTGGGTATCAGTAACTTTATTGCACGGAGAGTGTTTTATATGTGCATTTAGCACTTCAGTGCCCGTTGAAAAACTCGGTAACATGACGGGAGTCACCCTATCTGAAAAGGAAATTAAAAGAATATTGGCCAGGATTCCTTGCAAAGATATTTATGATGGGCATCACATTATCGGCCAAGAAGTGGCTTCTCGGTACCTGCGCTGTATCTCTCAGGTAAGAATGCCTCGTTACATTTTGACTTGTATATGTAGAAAGCAGTGTGGATTGGGGGACAGAATAAAAAGGAATAAAAGGGAAATATGACATGTCACACATGTCATGTGTCCTTAAGGGGTTAATAATAGAATTTGAGAAGGGACTATTGGTTATCAAATCCTCATCAAGGATATGATGCATTAGTTAACGTATTTTCATTGGGAGTAAATTAAAGCTTTGGGTCATTTTGTATATTAGGGTTTTTAGTTCTGTAAACTTGCACATCTCACTGTTAAGTTAATAAACCCCACTGTATAATGTAGGTAAGGACAATACAACTTAAGAGAGGGTGACAAGGAAAAATAGGACAACTCTACATGGTCTAAGATGTATTGCAGATTGAGTGTTATACAACTTTTATTACTGTGTAGTTTATTAAGATAAAAAACAAAACATTTAAGTGTCTTTGTTATCTTCTTCACATAATATAATGCTTGAAACACTGACATTTCAACAAGTAGGTGTAAAGTCAGCTAAATGATTGAAATCAATAGCATTCTTTTTTATCTGTGTTATTTCAAGATAAATAACTTTTTTGAAGTCAGTTTTTTTCTACAAAATTGTGCACTCCCTACAGTTTAAAGAATGGGGTAAGCTTGTTTAACTAGACTTTGAGAAATCTGGATCTGCTTCTTAGTTCTTTAAAATAATTCTAAATATATATTTTTTATATAATATACTGGACAAAACTAACCTAATAAAAATTGACAAAAAATATTGCAATGCATCTCACAGCCTCCCCAATGATAACCTTTTTAATACTCTATGGCTTGATGCATACTCTTTAGGAAATTGGGCATTGGAATCTGCCCATCCTCAGATTTTTGGGGAGGACTCCCAAACACATGCCTTGTCTGTTTGAATACTTTGATAACTCGCAATAATATTTTAATTGCATATTGCTTTCTTCTATTTTAATGGCATATCAGCCCATAACATCATCTTATATGTGATTGTTACTCAAATAAAAATAAAGAATGAATGTACTTTTAAAGAGACATTATAGTCACCAGAACCACTACAGCTTAATGTAGTGGTTCTGGTGTCTATAACGTGTCCCTGCAGACTTAGCACTGTTAACACTGACTTTTCAGAAAAAAAGCAGTGTTTACATTGCTGGCTAGTTACACTTCTAGCTGCAGCCACTAGATGTACTTCCTGTGTTAGTGTCAGTGGCGTACACATGACCCATGGGGCCCTGGTGCAAAAATTGATCCGTGGGCCCCCCCCTCACGCGCGCGCGCGGGCCGGGCCGCAACACATGGCGGTGGGCACCTGGTCGCAGGGGTTACAGGGCTGCGACCCCTGCGACCGCGGTATGTACGCCAGTGCATGCAGATGCACACACACTTAAAGGACCACTACAGACACCCAGATCACATCAGCTCAATGAAATTGCCTGGGTGTCAGGTCCCTCTAGTTTTAACCCTGCAGCTGAAAACATAGCAGTTTCAGAGAAACTGCTATGTTTCACTGAGGGTTAATCCAGCCTCTAGTGGCTGTCTCACTGACAGCCGCTAGAGGAGCACACTGAATGTCCATAGGAAAGCATTGAGCAATGCTTTCCTATGGGCGGTTTGAATGCGTGCGCGGTCGCATTCGGAGCTGAGAGGCTGAGGGATCCCCAGCGCCAGGGGAGTCCGGCGCTGGAGAAAGGTAAGTGCTGAAGACACACATTCTCACTTACAGACGCTTACACACTAGCTAACAGACACACATTTGCTGACAGAGACACAGTCAGCGACAGACATACATACACACTCACTTACAAAACATACACTCTCATTGACAAACACAAACTCACTAACAGACATCAAACAGACTCACTAACACACACTCAGTAAGACACACACAGTAACACACTCACTGACACTCACTAGCAGACACACACTAACACTCACTCTAACACACACACACTAACTAGCAGACACACACTCACACTAACACTCACTCTAACACTCACACACACTAACACTCACACACACTAACACTCACTCACACACACTCACTCTCACTAACACTAACACTCACACTAACACTCACTCTCACTCTAACACTCACTCTCACTCTAACACTCACTCTCACACTCACTCTCACACTCACACTAACACTCTCACACTAACACTCTCACACTAGCACACTCACTCTAACACTCACTCTAACTCTCACACTAACTCTCACACTAACACTCACTCTAACACTCACTCTAACACTCACTCTCATGCTAACACTCACTCATGTATTTTTTTTTTTAAATTTAATTCCCCCAGCCTCCTTACCTTTTGGAGTGCTGGGGGGATTCCCTGGGGTCCAGTGGCCCTGCTGACACCCGGAAGGCGGGTGGCCGGTCGGGAAGCCCGGCGCGTGAGGGAGCACTCACTGAGTGCTCCCTCGCGCGCCGGGCTTCCCGACCGGCCACCCGCCTTCCGGGTGTCAGCAGGGCCAGCCTCGGGGGGCCCTGGGGTGGTCGGCTCCTGGGCCCCCCAGGGGAAGAGGCTGGCCCTGTGGGTACATACCAGGTCGCAGGGGCGGCCGGGCCCCCTGGTGGGCCGGGCCCGGTCGCAGCCGCGACCCCTGCGACCCTGGTATGTACGCCACTGTTTAGTGTTGCACAGTGTGCAGCACTGACGTTCACCATCTCCAAGCTCTGCATAAAGGTGCTGAATGTTCCTCACAGAGATGCATTGATTCAATGAATCTCCATGAGGAGATATTGATTGGTGCTTTTGCTGTGCATGCGCAATAGCCTCCCAAAGCTGCCCTATGGGAAGCATTGGATTGGCTGAGATCACCAGATGATCTCAGTCAAAGAGGCGGAGCCAGGGACCTAATGCTGCATTGCACATGTTTGTATTCTTAACACTATAGTGTTCCTTTAACTACTTAGTTAATCTCTATGATAATATGTTCTGAATTAATATTAGTTAAATAGATCATGACATTAATCCAGAAACATATATGTTCTTTTATGGAGATAAATAAAACTAGCACATCTGTAATTACTACAACAATTAAATATTACCCCTAGTTAGAAATGATGCACCCACGTGAAACCTGAAATGACTCAGCCAGGCCTTTGGTGGGTGTAGGCACTGATTGCAGAGGAGTGGTGAAGATTTAAGAAAAAACCGCTGCAACACATTGGATGTGGATTAAAAAATATACTAAAGGGAAACTCTAAGCAACATCACCACTACAACTCTGAGTAGTTCTTATGTTGTCCGCTGTAAGACCAGTGGCATAAATACCACAGTTGCAAAGGTTGCAGTGGCCACCGGGCCCGTCACTCGAGGGGGGAAGGCACCAATGCAACCCCTGCCACTGTGGGCCAACTGCACACCTTTAGGGCTGGTGCCCACGAGGCTGACCAGCAGGAGGTGAGCGATGTGTTGTGTTGATCCCCTTCTGCCTGTTTATAGCATGGCCAAGCGCTATAAAAGGAAGTGCTCACTGAAAGAGCACTTCCTGTCAGACCACTTGGGGGGAGGCAGGGTGCCCGTGGTTTCTAGTTACGCCTCTGTGTAAGACCATACCCCAGGCCTCACCATTGTAAGAGGTTTGAGAAAAAACAGGACTCTCTCCGTGGTAGCCAGAAAAGACAGCCCATTCCTTTCCCTGCTGTTAAAAAAACAGAAATTTCACGTTTGTATTATCAATGTTACAGCGAAACCCGACATGAAAGGCCCTGACCAAATTGTAGTAGGCAATAGGAAGTTAAAACTTAAAGGGACACTCCAGGCACCCAGACCACTTCTGCCCATTGGAGTGGTCTGGGTGCCAACCATTGGCGGATCCAGGGGGGGGGCAACGGGGCAATTGCCCCCCCCGAGAAATCCGCCGGTCTCCCTCCCCTCCCAGCCGTGCAATGTGCCTGCGGACCGGGGAGGAAGATCAGAGATCTCCCTCCCCGGTCCGCAGCCACTGTGCTGACAGCCGGCGGCGGAGGGAGGGAGTGAGAGAGGACCCGGAGCTCAGTCTGCAGCTCCTCCGGGTCCTCCTCTCTCGAGATTTGGAGCGTTGCCGCGGTTACCACGGCAACGCTCCAAATCTCGCGAGAGTGAACTCTAGCCCGGGAGCGCGGGCTAGAGTTCACTCTCACCACTGGGACCACCAGGGAATCACCACTGGGACCACCAGGGATCGAAATATGTCCCCCCTCCTCCCCAGTAAAGGTAAGAAGGGAGGGGGGACATAGGATATTTATTTTATTAAATAAAATGAAAAAAAAATATTATTTAAAAGCCTCCTTCCCCCCCATTACACACACTGCCCCCCCATACCACACACTGCCCCCCCCATACCACACACTGCCCCCCCCATATCACACACTGCCCCCCCATACCACACACTGCCCCATACACACACTGCGCCCCCATTACACACACTGCCCCCATTACAAACACTGCCCCCATACCACACACCTCTGCCCCCCATACACACACACTGTCCACAAACACTGTCCCCATACACACACTGGCCCCACAAACACTGTCCCCATACACACACACTGCCCCATACACTTCCCCACAAACATTGTCCCCATACACACACTTCCCCACAAACACTGTCCCCCATACACACACTGTCCCCCATACACACACTGTCCCCATACACACACTGACCCCCATACACACACTGCCCCACAAACACTATCCCCATACACACACTGTCCCAATACACGCACTGCCCCATACACACACACTGCCCCACAAACACTGTCCCCATACACACACTGTCCCCATACACACACACTGTCCCCATACACACACTGCCCCACAAACACTGTCCCCATAAACATTGCCCCCCATACACACACTGCCCCACAACACTGTCCCCATACACACACTGCCCACAAACACTGCCCCCATACACACACTGCCCCACAAACATTGTCCCCACACACACTGCCCCCCCATACACACACTGCCCCACAAACACTGTCCCCCATACACACACTGTCCCCATACACACACTACCCCACAAACACTATCCCCATACACACACTGCCCCCCATACACACACTGCCCCACAAACACTGTCCCAATACACACACTGACCCCATACGCACACACTGCCCCACAAACACTGTCCCCATACACACACTGCCCCACAAACACTGTCCCTGACATACACTGCCGCACTCACACACTTCACCCTTAACACACACCACTGCTCCTATACCCTATATCCCAGCAGACCCCAGGTAAGTTGTCAAACTGTTCTTAAACAGTATGACTACTTACTCTGGGGTGGAATCCTGGCACTACTGACACCATAACTACTACACTGAGCTGTAGTAGTTATTGTGCCTGGATTATTTATTTAAATAATCTACAAGTGCCCCTCCCGAGATCAGGCTCTGGATCCGCCACTGGTGCCAACTCCCACCACCCTTAACCCTGGAAGTGTAATTATTGCAGTTTTTATAACGTCGGTGGGGGAGAAGAATAGGCGGAGCCTGACCCAGAGCCGAGGGACATCGGTGCTGAATTCAGGTAAGTCACTGAAGGGGTTTTAATCCCTTCAGCAACATGGGATGGGGGGTGGGAGGGAGAGGGGCACTGTAGGGTTCTGCATATTTGTTTTCCTGGCACTGGAGAGTCATTTTAACTTTTAGTAAGCATAAAATAGACATAAATCACAAAAAACACTCAATATAAGTGAAAAAAATTATATACAAATTGTAAGTAAACAAAGTAAATAAGAGTAAATAAATAGTAAATATAAATGCTAAATATAATGAATCAAATCTAGCTTGTAGTACTGTGCAATGTAAGAGGACTAATAATCAGCCAGAAGTACTAGGAGCTATGATTAACCTAAGACAGACAAAAAGAGGTGTCAGATAATCACAAGTACAGAGTAATATGTCTAATTGTAACAATCAGTACTATTAAAGGACCACTAGAGTGCCAGGAAAACATACTCGTTTTCCTGGCACTATAGTGCCCCCACCCTCAGGGTCCCACTCCCGCTGGGCTGGATGACGAGGAAGGGGTTAAACACTTACCTTTCTCCAGTGCTGGGTTCCCTCGGTGCTGGAGACTCTCCTCCTCCTTTCCCCGTCATCGGCTGAATGCGCATGTGCGGCAAGAGCCGCGCGCGCATTCAAACCACCCATAGGAAAGCATTACTCAATGCTTTCCTATGGACGTTAGCATCTTCTCACTGTGAGTTTCTCTGAAACTGCTATGTTTACAGCAGGCAGGGTTAAACCTGGATGGACCTGGCACCTAGACCACTTTATTGAGCTGAAGTGGTCTGGGTGCCTATAGTGGTCCTTTAATTGTACTTTTTTGTTACAATTTATTGTTTGCTTACTTACTATTTGTATATAATTTTTTTCATTTATGTTGAGTGTTTTTTGGTGATTTACGTATTTTTTCATACTTATTAAAGGTTCAGTTTTAACTTCCTGTAGTCTGCTACAATTTGGTCAGCGTTTTTCATGTCGTCTTTTTTTTTTTGTATTTCATATAGCCAGAGTTATGCCCTCCTTTGCCCTTTGACCTTTACCTCATGGCTCCCATCCTTTTCTTATTGTATTATCAATCAATCAATCAGTCAATTTATCAGCCAGGTTAGGTGGCAGTGACGGTCTTAGTGTGCTAGTCTAACACAACCCCAGTGCTCTCAGCTTATGATATCACCACATTATGGCAGCATTAAGGGAATAAACTCACAACCCAAATCTAACTTTGAGTTATTGTATGGTTGTGCAAGAGAAATCCTTTTTGTATCTGTTTGAAAACACTATCCATGCACAAAGGAAAAATAAAAAGCAATATTGTAGGCACAATAGGCATTATGCCTCTTAAAGTGAAACTAACACAATACCTTGACACCTGACACATATTTTTTCACTTAAGTGTGTGAATACCTGTCGGAATAATTCACCAAAAATGTATCATCAGAAAGGTGGGTAGCTAATTTGGGGAAATATAATTAAAGTGCACTGTATTTCCAACTCAGCTATTAGGCATTAAGTTTGACATTCACCAGTGCATTCCTGACAATGTCTGCGGGTTACACAATGCGCCACAGGCTCCGTTTCCTCAAACATGCTGTCTCGCAACATTTCATTGCAAATGTATTTTTTTCACCTGAAACCAGCAACAGCAGCTTATTACAAGACATAAAAATACATTCCCACGACCTAAAAATGTAGGCCAATAACATGTAATAAAAATACTTATTGTACTTCTGAATGATACAACCTTTCATTTCAGAATAATGTGAAAAACAAAATGATGGCATCTGGCAAATCACAATTACTTGACTTTATTTATATTTTTAAATTATATATACAGTAGTGTTGCACCCCTAGTGCCCTCCTGCCCATAATTAAACAAACACTATAATGTCAGGAATACAAACATGTATTTCTGACACTATAGGTCAAATAGCTATTTAGGCCTTAGGCAGCACTTACCACAAGTTACTCACTTTATTCCAGTGCCATGCAGGTCTGTTGCGACTGGCTCCGTTCACACTCTGCCCCCTTGGCTGAGATCATCTCACTTGACGATCTCAGCCAATAGGAAAGCACTGGGAGGCTATCATTGTTGCGCGACTGTGCTAATCAGCATCTCCTCATAGAGATACATTGACTCAATGCAGCTCTACGGGGAACGTTCAGCACCTTCATGCAGAGCACAGAGGCACTGAACGTGACCTAGGAAGCACCTCTAGTGGACGTCTGAGTGACTGTCACTAGAGGTGTTACAGGCACCAATGTAAACACTGTCTCTTCTCTGAAAAGGCAGTGTTTACAGTAAAATGCCTGCAAGGACAGACTAAAGACCACAAGAACAATTACATTAAGCTGTAGTTGTTCTGGGGACTATAGTGTCCGTTTAATGATAATTGTTATTTATTTTAAAAAGGAAATTAAGCTATTTTAGCTATTTATTTAAAAAAAAAAGCCACTTAGGACATAAACAGTCATACTTTTAAAACCACCCTTATTTTCAAAATTTTTTTAAATATTTATAAGTTTACAGTTTGGTAAACAAAGGTTAGCAACAAAGCTGGGCAGATAGAATAAACCTAGGACAATGGAATACAGAGAACTGAGCTGGTGTTTGCTCACACTACCTCACTGAGCACAAGATGCCCTTGTTCTTCCCTGCAGCTCCCAGCCTCACTGCTCTGCCAAGCTCTGCCAAGCACCACACACGGGCTGCCCATCTGCAGAGGCAGACACAGGGTCTCATGTGCAAGGTAGCAAAGCCAAGAGTTTCATGCTGAGCATAGATTTTATGTCTCATGCCTCTTGCATGTTAAATTACCACATAATTACTTAATTTGTAACTTTGTAACCAAGAGGGTCAGTGGAAAGGCTTATTGGAAGATTTGGAATTGGAAGCGAATAAATAAATAAAAACTAATAAATAATACAAATTGCAATATTAGGAAACAGAGCTTTCATTAGACTAGACATTTCATGAGACAACATCCAGGTCAGCCCATCCCCAATAACACCTCTGGGCAATCATACTTTCTGCAGTGCCACACGTAACGAGCCTACAGCTCAAAATAGCTGTACAATGCTAATCTTGGTGGGTGGGTGAGTGGGTTGAACAGCCCCGAGAGAGGAATGCATTAGCTGTCACAAAGTGACAGTCACACCTTCACCAAGTCGCCACCACACCACATTAGGCCGACACTGTTTTCAGTATTGAAACTGCTTTACAGATCTATTATGCTATAACATAATTTTTCTTTGTTTTTCCACTACACTAAAATGACCCTCTAATTTACAAAATTAGGAGAAGATCAGTAAATGAAACAGAAGACCAGGTTGAGTGTTTTCTAACTTGGGTGGCACAATCAAAGATTAATACAAAATCTCTACAGGAGCCCGACATGTAAATCCAGCCCTGAGCCTCACCACACAGTATGAAAGGCTTAGAGAAGATATCCATGAAAATTAAAGGGACACTCCAGGCACCCAGAACAGTTCTGCCCATTGGAGTGGTCTGGGTGCCAACTCCCATCACCCTTAACACTGCAAGTGTAATTATTGCAGCTTTTATAAACTGCAATAATTACCTTGCAGGGTTAAGTCCTCCTCTTATGGCTGTCTATATTCTTAGAACACGAAAAGTGTTTTAAACGACGATGGACGTCCTCGCTCTGTTCATGAGGACCTCCAGTGTTGCTGAAATCCCCATAGGAAAGCACTGAATAATGATTTCCTATAGGGAGGTCTAATGAGTGTGCACGGCCTTTGCGGCACATGCACATTAGGTCTCCCCCGCTGGCTGGCGTCAGTGGGGGAAGACCGTGGGCGGAGCCTGACCCAGCGTCGAGGGACATCAGCGCTGGATTCAGGTAAGTCACTGAAGGGGTTTTAATCCCTTCAGCAACATGGGATGGGGGGGTGGGAGGTAGAGGGGCACTGCAGGGTATATGTTTTCCTGGCACTGGAGAGTCCCTTTAACCCCTTAAGAACCAAACTCCTGGAATAAAAGGGAATCATGACATGTCACACATGTCATGTGTCCTTAAGGGGTTAAGTGGGAATGCTAAAAAAAATATTATTCGTATTCAGTGATAAAAAGTGATTTAAGGATAAAAATCTGGAGATAGTTCACTAAATTGATCTTCCTCTGAATAGCCAGTCTGAATACATTAACAAACTCTGTAAAAGCAAAAGTGAGAAAAAACCTGAGCGGGTCTAACTTTTACCCATTCTCAAAGTTTTCATATTCTCTGTTTTTGTTGCTTTAACAAACTCTTCCTGGAAATGTATTTAGCTGTTTTGTGAGCATAGCATTAATATGGTAAAATAAACAGTTATGAGTGATTCCATGAATCTCCTAAAACTAAGAGTTGGTCTAGCAGAATGGCTTCCTCTATTCACAAACATCAGTGGTAATATCACACGGATTAATGAGCAATAGCCCACATCCCACATCAATGAACAAGGGAAGGGTCAGATGGACAGTTGTGCAGTTTAGGCATAGTTCCAGAGTCAATTCAAAAGCTGTTAAAAATGCACTTCCGGGCTATCGTATGACATTCAGGATGAATTTCGCAGATTCTGGATGGGTTCCAAAGTGGGGCTAATTCAGGTCAATTAAAAATAGTCTTGCAATACTTGAAAAATGAATACATTTATTGAAATCTGCTATTATATGTTTGTCTTTAGATGATCACACTTTCTTCATCCCAAATTTGCTAGAGAATAGACGGACAAATTAAATGTCAACACACTTGACAAAATTACTTTTTGCTCTGAAAAAAACTAATAACACCATTTACTCTCTCCTCCTAGGCAGTTGGCTGGACCTTTGTCCTCTTGATGACCTTCTTTGCATTCCTTGTTCGTGCCATTCGACCTTGTTTTACCCAAGCTGCCTTCTTGAAAAGCAAATATTGGTCTCATTACATTGATATAGAGCGTAAGCTATTTGACGAGACCTGTACAGAACATGCAAAAAGCTTTGCAAAGCTGTGCATCCAGCAGTTTTTTGAGACAATGAACAAGGATATAAGCATGGGCCATTCTCACATCTTGGAGAAGACCAGTATGGAGCAAGAAGAGAATGATAAACTTTTGGGAATCACTAACCAAGGCACTATGAACAAACTTCTGAAAAACTGGCATAAGTGTAAGCCCCCACTTAATTTGAATAATTACGAGAACCAAAATGGAAATGGTTGCATCAAAGAAAATCACCAATGTAATGGACTAAATGTTCCTAAGAAAGAATTTATAACATATTATAGCAAGGTATGACAACTGATAAACGATGGAAGGCAGACAAAGTCCTTCAATTTATGGAATAGGAAGCCGTTGATCTTTCTATAGGCTCTAGGTGCAGATCAATGGAACATGAAATTAAACGGGACTAAAAAAGTCAAGTGATGGAGAATCGGTGCAAGTTTCTGCCCATTGTGAGCTTTTGAGTCACATGTTGACCAACTGCTTCTAGATCGATCAGTGGTATTGCGCGAGAAACAGTCAACAGGATATGCCTTGATATGGCAATGAGGGTCTACCATTTATCTTGAAAAAAACACTTTGTGTCATGGTTGAATCCCACATCCAATACTTGTGTACAATAATTTTATCTTCATAGAAAACTCTTACCTTAGTGATGTTGTAAGATATACATTTGCCAGTAGTTGACTGGCTTGACCGTAATTGTCAACTTAACCAGTAATCTTAATTAACCAAAAGATTGTCAAAGACTCCATAAGAGGTGAGAATTAAGAAGTTTAGTTAAAGAACGCAGAACATTCTCAATAAATAGTGATCAGACATTTTTAACATACACAAGCTTACATCGATATCTAAAGCAATGGATTGATCCAACCAAAATACAAATACTGCCTAAAGATCTAGCTGGTTTTTTTTTTCAGAATTGCTGTGAGTTTTTTATTTTTCAGTAAATAGAAATAATGATCCGTTAACATTTTTACAGACAATGGGCACCAAAATAAAAGGGAACTGTTGTAATCAGAACATATTTCAGAACTTTATCTTAGATAAATACTATTACAATTATTACTTTATTTAAATGACAGTATTAAAGAGACAATCTTACAAAGTCTGTGTGGTTTGTACAACCTTTAAATGTTAACGTTGTATTTGTTCATTGCTCAATACTTTTTTTTTTTCTTCGCTGAAAGAGATGGTTGTTTTGTTGTAACTTGTGACTGTTTTTGTTACATAACTGTGTTTTTCTCAATAAAGTGTTAGTTTTAGTTTTTATAGCAAACAAACATTGCACATTTTATTTTTCGTGCTACCGTACTAAATCAGATCCCAATTTAAGGATTCAGAGGGAGTTGGTGGTAATTAAGGAAAGAGAAAATGTTTGAGCAGTCTGTCCTTCCAATGTTTTGCTAACTAGAAGTGAAAAGTTGGACTTCAAAAACTTTTGTAGTTCTGTGGAGTCTGATTTGAGAATCAGTGTCCACATAAACACTTTATATAGTGCATTCAGTCCTCAACAGTCTGACCATTAGAAGTTTAATTGCTGTGGAATCCTGTAATCAGTAACAATATACACCACAGTTTTTTGTGTCTTTACCTGCTGTAGTACATTACAGGTTAAGTGAACGTCTCTGCGGGCATATTTTCATGAGAGACGGTAGCTTTTTGCAAATACCCTTATTAACACGTCTCAGCTGTCAAGCACACATTCCTCCCTACTCATTTTGAAGCATTTGATTGGACACATTGATGATGGCCTCATAGGAGGAAGATTGGCATTGCTGTGAGAAAATGCTCATGTAGTTGGAATAAAGGTGAGTTAAACTGGTTTTAATCTTTCAAGTGCTGAAATGGTGATTAGTTATATAAAGTACACTCCAACTAATGAATGTAATCGGGTTTTTTTTTGTTTGTTTGTTTTTTTAACATCTAGCCTAAGAAAAATAATGGGGGTTTAGTTACAGTATATGATCATACATTACGTAAGCCTGCCTCAACGCCAATGTACCCCATTCCTGGCAGGTCCTATCCTAGGAACCTGATTCCTACTCTTATAAGATTATCTCATATATATTTTTTGTAATTAAAAAAAAAAAATACTTTCAGTGCTCAAAATGTCCACCAGCCACTATAAAGTCATCCCTGGTGAGTGTGCCATGAACTCTCCACACATGCAGTGGCAAGTAACCTTTAAGGTCCGGCTAGTAGTATAGTACTTGGAATGTTAGACCCTGTTTATATATTATATTTTATCTGGAGTGATCCTCCAAAAGTGATTCCCACTCAAGCTAAATAAAGTTTTAGATGGGCGGCGTGTAATTTAAAAGGAAATCGGAGGGGGCAAACACTTGGGGATGGGACTCGTGGTCACTTAAGCCTGTAGATTTAGCATGAAACCTAAACGATTATATTGCAACCACAAATAACTAGCCTGTCAGACTCAGTTCTTTATAGGTACCAGCACCTTTTTTTTTAAAAAATTTTTAAATTGAATTTATTTTATTTATTTTTTCTTGAATTTGTAATATTTTTGAGAATGTCACATGGGGACGATCTAACTTATTTATTTATTTTTGAAGATGATTAGATAATTGTATCTGTAATGCAGTTAGATCATTAGACATCTGGTTTTTCAATATTACATTCAGTTTGATTAAATGACCTCGTACCACTGCTTTGCATCAGCTCCAGTTGCTAATTATTGATGTATCTTCAGGATTACGTTCTTGTGTGAAGTAAGTAATCACTTTTTCAATATATTCTAAATTTTTGGATTTGTTTAAAAGCCAGTCATTAATTCTCCATGGGGGTCCAGCTGTATGATTGTATGAATTTTTAAGTTCCATCTGGATTATACAATGGTCTGACCATACATTGTCTTTTATTTCACAATGTTGTACTCTCTGTGTCAGAGAGAGATTCCCCCATATCATGTCTATTCTTGAGTATGATAAGTGGACTCTCAGATGGGTGAAATCTCTCTCTGAGGGGTGTAGCAGTCTCCAGATAACATAAAGGTCAAAATTATTTAGACATCTGGTTAGCTTTCTTGAATGTTTAATTAAATTTACATTCATTTTTTTTAAAATCCAAACTTGTGTCTAATATACAATTAAAGTCCCCTGCAATAATACAGCTCCCCCTTTTCACTTTTTCTACTTCTTGTAATATTTTTTTAAGGAGAGACATTGGGTAGATATATATTAACCAAAGTAAAAATTTAGTTATTGAGTTTTCATACTATAATCATATATCGTGCTAATACAGGGGTCAGCAACCTACGGCACATGTGCCATGCATGGCACTTGGGGTGCCTTTGTATGGCACTCAAGGCTACCAGAGCCAAACAAGTATGGCCTATCAGGAGACCTTAGTGCAAACCGAGTGAGGATTGCAGGTGGTGAAGGCCAACCCTTAATTTACGCATTGCAGCAATGGTGAACGAAACCCGCACTGGAGTAGAGCAACCCGCAGCAGCTATTGCAGCTCCTGCCCTTGACCTGTACCTGGCCAGCCTGTTCCCTATTGGGTCCCAGGCAAGTCACCCACACTGCTAGATAAACACAGAGCTGCAGGATAAACCTCCCACTTATACCAATAATAGAAACAGTCCACACACAAACACAGTCCCCACAAACACAACACTATGGACTATCCACATACACGCACAAACAGACGTATACACATATCATCCACACATAATTCCACAAGCAGCCAACATTCATAGGCATCATACACAACCATACACAATGCCACAAACTGCTCATGAACGTATTCTATACAATAACAGCTCACATGGGCACAAATACAACGCTACAAAGTAACTGCAGCACCGACAAATAACACAAGCAGAATACGGCAACATACACACCTCAATTGAAAAAAATAGTCCCGGCATGCCAAGGGACTTCAAAAGCTCCATTTGGCACAGTACTGCTAAAAGATTGTCTACCCCTGTCCTAATACATCAATACATCAAAGCAATTTATGGAGCCAATGTTATAGCCCATATATATAGACTTCAAGGGGAATTAAATGCAAAGCAAGGATGGTATGAAATAGAAAGATCTAACTCTGAAATGTAAACAATAAATTTATTTTTTATGGCTTGGGACCCAAAAACTATGTTGATGGTTAAGCAAATAACATAATTAACTAAAACCCTAGTTCAAACATTAAACTCTTGGTTTAAAATTAAAAAAAATTATACAATTTACAAATTCCGCCCTACTTATCATTACATTTCTTGGAATATATAATAGATTATTTAAATTTAGGAAAGTGGATAAGGTGCGGTATTACTTCCATAAACCAACTTTTAAAGGAAGTAAAAATAAAGAAATGTTCAGATTTAGTCGAAGCTTTTAATTTACCGTCAGCTGAAGCGTAAATTTTTTTTAAGAGTCAAAAACTTTTTATAAAAACATGTGATTAATCACAATACCAATCTAATAAAAAATTTAGAACACCTTTTTCAAATAAAAAACTAAGAAATAATGGTTACAGGAGCCTCGGCTTTTATGACGCTTGATCAATAAATTAGCCTTATCAGTATGGGAGAAAGAGTTACATATAAAAATAAGTCAAGAAGATTGGTGCTCAAATTTATCAGAAATATATCCAGCAATAAAATGTCTCAACATATTAGAAATTCAATATAAATTAGTAAATAGGTGGTATTGGGTCCCCACAAAACTATTTAAAATATCAGCGACCAACACATCTATATGTTGGAGATACCATACCGAAGAAGGGAATTATGTTCATATATGCTGGAGATGCCATCAATTAAAAACCTTTGGGACAAATTATTTGATTGGTTAGACACTACGCTAAAATTTATGTTGAATAGATCCCCACAGGTAGCTTTGTTACATTTGGACTGGCCAAACCTGAATTTGTCAGAAAAATATCTTGTATTTCACAGCCTATTAGCTGTAAAAATAATATTTGCGAGAAATTGGAAATTCCAACTAAACCCTTCATGGAATAACGTACTACATCAACTAAAATGCCAACTAAAAATGGAAAGAGCAATAAGTGGGATATATTCAATTTCATTAAAAAACAAAAAATATGTGAAAGTTGGTTAAATTAATTGACGAATACTTAACTATATATGTAGACCTAATTAAGCGCATGTAGCATGTATAAGAAAATATGTTCATCACTCACCCATATCCTAAATAATGAGTATTAGGAGGATTTTTTGTTGTTTTGTATGTGGGTTTTTGTTTTGTGTTATTTTTTTTAAATGGTACATGCTGTTTAATCTGACTACGATTAAAATAGAATAAGGACTCACTATGTAAATTGTAAGGAATTAGGATTATCAAACAAGTGTAATATTTCTAATATTTAAAAAATGTTATAAAAGACATGCATGTAAATGTTTTTTTTTTTTTTTTCCCCGTTCTTTCCCTTTGTCATATGTAAATGTAAAAAAAAAATCTAATAAAAATAAATTGTAATTAAAAAAATATATGATTTAAGAAAAAAGTGGTACAGACATAAAAGAACCTAAAAAAATGTAAAATATCAAAATATGTGTTTAAACAATACGGAGTAGGGTTTTAGGTCTAATACCCATAGAATTTCTCTTTTTCATAGTGTATAAACGTATTACCCCCTCTACATTCTCCATGAAGGCATGATTTTATCTGTAAATTTTCTAGATACTGTATGGTTTAGGAAGCCTCTACTGATATTCCTATACTGTTCGGCTATGCTATATTTTAGGTTTCCTTGTAAGTCGTACTTACGTATTGTAAGCCACATGGACATTTCAGTAGATAGGTCACATTTTCAGGGTGGCATGTAATAAATTTGTTAGTCATATATTTGTTTTGGGGTTTATTTGCTTTAAACTCATATGTTTGAGTGCTCGACTTATCTGATGATTTACATGCAATGCTGATCTACATTTAAAAAAAACACAACCTTTTTCTTTAAAAATTATTTTTGAGTTAGTTTTTTTTTTTTTTACTGCTTACATGCCTGAAGTAGAGCTCTCGATAACTCCAGTAATCTGTAAGAGAATTTCTTTCTTCATTTTTACCATGTTGCGACTATACTGCTCCATTTTTCTCTTCTTTTGTTTTGTTCCACTGTGAGGCGCTACTCCCACCTTCTCAAACAAGTATCCTGTATTTGGCTGGAACAGAGAGATTGAGCTGGCTCTCATACTTTATCACTACAGTCCAAGCGTTAAACCATTATATATACATTTTCTTGGCAGTGTTTACTATAGTGCACAAAGCAGAGGAGGTAAGTAAAAATCCTATTT